GAACATAGTGCCAAGAGTGACCTCTGAGCACTGCTGGGTCCCCACATCAAAAAGACACACACACACACACACACACACACACACACACACACACACACACACACACACACACCAGGTGGCACTCAGAACTGAAACAACAGGGCTGGAGCAATAGTACAGTGGGTAGGACGTTTGCCTTGCTTGTGGCCAACCGGGGTTCAATTCCCAGCATCCCATATGGTCTCCCAGTACCACCAGGAGTGATTCCTAAGTGCAGAGCCAGGTGAAACCCCTGTGCACTCAAAAGGCAAAACAAACAAACAAAACACTGAAATCAATTCAGAGACAGCGCATACACAGAAAGTAAAATCAGGTAAGAGAAAACCTCCGGATTTGGCCCTGGGTGAATGACTTGAATTGGATTAGAAGTCAAGTTTCAGGAAGCTGAGCTCTGAGAAGTGAATGAGTGGGCAAAGACTGAGTGTGGGGGCTGGGGAAATGGGTCAAAGGGTTAGAGTTGGTGCTGTGCATGCAGGAGGAGTGGGCTCAATCCCTGGCATTGCAGAGTCCCTCAGGAATCACCAGGAGTGAATTTCTAACACTGTCAAGCTACAGCCCTTGAAGACAACTGAGTATGGCCAAACGAACACACAAAAAGGGCCAAATACATGAGAATTCATCTGACACCAACACTTCCACACAGGCAACAGACCTCGGGGTGGCCTTTTCGTTTGTTAATTTTAGGAGGGCACCTGGCTGTGCTCAGGGATCACTCCTGGCAAGGCTCAGCAGACACATGGGATGCCAGGGATCGAACCCAGGCCAGCAGCATGCAAGGCAAGTGCTCTACCCGCTGTACTATCTCTGGCCCATCAGTATGGCTTTTCTATACTAATATCTAAGAGAAGGGACCAGATATGTGGCCCGGTGGTAGAGGCCTGGGTTAGATCCCCAGTACTGACAAAAAGGGAAAAAACTAAATTACCACACCCACTGACTTTTGCATGAATAGGCTGGAAAGTCTGGGCTCCTCTAAATGCCTGGGTCACCATGGCCCTGGGCCAGGGGATCTCAAACAGCGGTCCTTGGCCGGCTCTTGCACACTGGGCCCCCAGTGAAGACAGGCCGGGTGGTGAACACCGGGCAATGTTATCAGAGACATTTCCTTGGTAGCAATATAGAAATCAGTTCTGGCTACTGAAAGCAAGTTAGAATTTACTGGATGCTCATGGCATAGATGCTCAAGGCATGGATGCTCATGTTCATAGCAAAAGTACCCTGGCAGTGCTTGGGGGGTCAGATATGGCGCTGGGGATTGACGCCAGGCTGGCTGCCTACTGAGCAAGCACCTGACCCGCTGTGCCCTCCCTCCCACCCAGCAGAAGACTTCCACCCTCCCACAGGCAAAATCACTGAATCCCAAGGGATTTCTCCCTTGGTTCCTCCATCCAAGACACAGAATTCCTGGTGAAGGAACATAGACGGGCCCATCCTTTGCCCCTTGCCCTTTGCTGTCGCTTCTGCGGTGACAGGGGAGAGGCCCTGGCCAAGAGCCACACCTGGTGCTGAGCTTCACAGACCTCTGCTGAGACACAGGTATATACCTGGCTGCAGTACTCCAGACTGTCCATTTGATTGTGGTACCGGGGGTCTCTGCGAGAACTGCTTGTGGGGGACACCAGAGATAGAAGGCAGGCTCTCTATACCAAGCTGCTCCCCATGCCTCTTTTTTTTTTTTTTTGCTTTTTGGGTGACACCGGCGATGCACAGGGGTTACTCCTGACTTTGCACTCAGGAATTACTCCTGGCGGTGCTTGGGGGACCATATGAGATGCTGGGGATCGAACCCGGGTTTGCCGCGTGCAAGGCAAATGCTCTACCCGCTGTGCTACTGCTCCGGCCCCTCCATGCCTCCTTTTAATTTTCCAATTTCCCCGGTCACACTTTTCAGTGCCCACAGGTTACTCCTGGCTCTGTGCTCGTATCAGATGAGATGATGTATCCCCCACATTCAAAGCATACATGCTCAGGCTACTGAGCTCTCTCCTCCCTTTTTTACTGTTATGGAAACACCCCCTAGCAGTGCCTCGGGCCCCCCAATGATCACACTCAGGGGTGCTGGTAAGAGTTTTGCAGTGCCAGGGACCGCATCCAGGGCGTTGCACATGCTTTATTGCTGGAGCCGCAAACTCCCTTATCGGCACATCTTTATTCTTTGTTTGCTTTTCAGAGCCTGGCTTGTTGCTTGGAGGCTGCTCCCCAGCAGTGTGTAGGCCATCTGGGGCCAGGCGTCAAACCTGGGGCTCCTACATGAAAAGCATATATTCAGTCCCTTAAGCTTCTCCCCTTCTCTCCTCAATTCAGAACTTAAAAAAAAAAAACAAACCACACCTGGCTGTGTTCGGCGGTTACTTCTGACTGCACTCAGGAATCACTCCTGGTGGGGTTTGGGGAACCGTATAGGAAGATGGGGATCAAACCCGCGTGCAAAGCAAGTACCCTACATGCTGTACAATCACTCTGGTTTCCTGATCACACTTTTAACACAAACAACTTTAACACCAGTAGCAAAAGGTAATTTGATAATTCACTCCGAAATATGACATGGAGACTAGATTTTTTAATTTTCTTTTCTTTTTTTGCTTTTTGGGTCACACCTACCCAGCACTGCACAGGGGTTACTCCTTGTTCATGTACTCAGAAATTACTCCTGGCGGTGCTCGGGGGAGCATATGGGATGCTGGGAATCGAACCCCTGTTGGCCACGTGCAAGGCAAACGCCTTACCTGCTGTGCTGTCACTCCAGCTCCCAGATTTTTAATTTTCTGAGGTCCCAGGGATCAAACCAGGATCTTACATGTGAGAGATAACATGCCCTGCTACTGCCAAGTCACATCCCAGACTCCGGAAACACACTTATCCAGTACTTCCTTCGAGTTACGAAGTTGGAACTTGCTGAAAATCAACATTCAACAGTATCAAACTGTGCATGAGGGTCAGCTTGGCTGGTAAAAGGTTTTAGTCATGTGTCTATCCCTTAGTATCCTTTCAAGAATGGTTCTGTTCAGACCTAATTATTTCTGAGTAGAGCCCAGCCAAGTCTCGCCGATACTAGCATGCATATACAGCTCCAGAAACAATGTTGTTGGCTGCTGACTCCAACACTCAGAAGAGCACAAAAACTCTAACTGAACTGTCTACACAGCCTATAACACACTCCTTGGCAACAAAATGCTGTTCTGGGCTGGAGAGACAGTACAGAGTTAAGGCACTTGCCTTGCATGTGGCTGCCCCTGGTTGGATCCCCTGTACCACAGATGGTCCCGAGTACCAGCAGGAGCGATCCCTGAGTACAGAGCCAGGAGTATCCCCTGGGGATGGTTTTCCTCATCTGCCTTCACTCCTTCTTTTCTGCGTATGTTCTTACTGCAGAATTGACCCAAATTCCAGAAAGTTTCTGTGCCACTAAAGTCTGTAGGCTGCTGGGTCATCACTGGTTAGAAGGAACAAGGGAAGCTTCTTCCTTCTCAACCTGAGCAGTGACAAGCTCGCCGAAGGGCCAGTCCCATTAGTGCTGAATCGGGATCCACATGACCAGTTTCTATCCAGATCTGTTTCCAGAACTTATCAATGGACAGAAATAAATGCCTGTCAGAGGAGATCTGACCCGATCCCTCAGCAATAGTTGACCATGTGATACTAAGTGCTAGAACGTGAGTCAAGTCCTTTGGTCCAATGAGAGGACTTAGAAATGAGGGAAGAAGTGTGGGGAGCAGATTTGGGCCACAATAAATAGAACACATTGGGACCAGAGCGATAATATAGCGGGTAGAGTGTTTGCCTTGCATACGGTCGACCTGGATTCGATTCCTGGCATTCCATGATTCCCCAAGCACCACTAGGAGTAAATTCCTGAGTGCGAAGCCAGAAGTAACCCCTGAGCATCGCTGGGTGTGGCCCCCCCCAACAAAAAACAAAAATAGAAATGGGATACATTTCCCCAACAGAGCGGAAACTGGCCGGGCAGTTTTAGACAGCACTGTCCACCTCCTTCACGGCCTGCGAGCCTCAGTTCCTGATGCTGAGCTTGTCTGCTAATGCCCAGCCCATCACTGGGGTCTCTGGCCTCGCAGCTTAAAAGTCTAAAGCCACTGCTGAACGCACAAGCTCTTCTCTCCAGCTTCCTCTCTACGACTCTCCCAACCGCTCTGCTCACACCCTGCTGAATCGAGTCCAGCTCCCAGAGCAAGTTCTGCCTTCCTTCTGCAGGGTACAGTTGGCAGAGCCTTCAAGTCGCTGAGAAACTGCTCCCCCACCCCGTCACCCGTTCCTGCCCTGTCGCAGGGGCCCACTTCTGCCTCTCCAGCCTCAAGAGTTTTTGCCCGGCTCTGGCCTGGGCGAAACCTCCCTGCCTCTCCCCTGGCCCCAGAGCACTGTGCAGGAAAGCAAGCATCTCCCCACGTGAGCTCTGCCTGCAGGTGGGTTTCTTTCCTTCCCACAGGTGGGGAGCCAGCCCGGCTGCCCTCGCTTACAGGCTGACCCGAGGGCTGAACGAACGCCGTTTGCATTTTATCTCGGGCTGTGTCTGCACCAAAGTAAATCACACTTGTCTTCTCAGAAGAGGGAACATATTCAAATACCAAGAACTGCGGTTCCTGGTAAGACCTTTCAGAAAATGACGTTACCAACAGCGGCAGCGACTGGAAACTCAGCAGAATGCTTAAGTGCTGAAAAAACAGTGAAATGGGCCAAGACTCGAGCAGCCTCGGTTTAAGAGGTGGGGGGTGTGGGGACAATGCACGTTTCTCTAACATTTGAAATTGCAAACGGGGCGGAGCAACAGTCTAGGAGGTCAAACGCTTTCCTTGCACACAGCTGACCCGGGTTCGATACCTGGCACCCCAACACAGTCCCCCGAGCACTACCAGGAGTGATTCCTGAGTTCCAAGCCAGGAGAAGCCCCTGAGCACTGCCAGATGTGGCCCCCAAATCGAAAGATAAAAATAAAAATCACAAACAACTCTTGTGGATAATTACATCTATTTACATCTTTGATCTGGGTTACATGTCGCTGCTACCCAACTCCAAATCCCACCCGGTCGGACCCTCCCCCAGTTGTCTGAGCCAGCCTGCAGAGAGGAGATAAGCTGATGTCAGCTCCAGCAGTGCTGGGACGTCCACTCTGGAATGAAGTCCCTTGCTCTTATCACCGTCCTGCCGCCGGTCCTTCTCAGCCAGGCACCCTCCTCCTGGGGCCCACGGTGGCTGCCCTGCCTAGCCCTCCATGAGGCTGCCTGCGTGGGCCGGGCTCTGGGGCAAACTTGTGTGGGGCAGCTGCGGGGTGGACAGGTGTTCTAGTTCGTAGTGGCCATTCTCGGGGGCCTTCGGTGCGACCTTCTCCGTGGCGCCCTCCCTCTGGCTCCTCTTGTGCTTGATGATCTGCTGGAGCTGGTGGCTGGCATAGTCGGGCTTGGTGGTCAGGGGGCCGGCCGGCACGGCCACACCGAGGACGTCCGACACCATGTAGGGGCGCAGCCAGCCCACCAGAGGGGTACTGCCGGGGCTGTAGTGGGTCTGCCTGTGGTAGAAGAGCAGGCCGTCCACCTGCAAGGGGAGACGGGGGCCAGGAGTCTGCTCAGGGGCGGGGCGGGGGGCTGACGCCTTTCTCTGCTTCCCTGCCGAGGGCAGGGGTGAGGCTTGGGGGGTGGGGGAACCTCCTCCATTCTCCCATGAAGACACAGCCCGGGAAACTGCCATTTCCAGAATCGAGACGCGAACGGCACCTTCTGGTTCCCAGACCCTGCCTGAGGCTGGCTAAGAGCCGGGAGCGACTCAGACTCGGGGACTTTGGGGGAAGGTGCCCGGAAGACAAAGCGAGTCCAAAGAGTGGACGCGATCTCGGACCCCGCCTCTGCATCCCTCAGTCCCAAGCACTTTCCCGCCCCCGGCGATGGGGCTCCTGGAGCGAGGGAGATGCGGGAGGAGTGGGCAGGCCCCGTCCAGGCAGAGGGGGCACAGGAAAACAGGCCGTGGACAGGCCAGCTCGCTGGGCCGCTGCCAGCTCTCGAAACCGCCCCTAAATTGTCCTCAAGCTCTGTTCTGGGAAACTCCGTTTTTCTCGACGGGAAGACCTCCCACAGCCCCGCATTCTCTTTTCTGACTTGGTGACTCATCTCTAAGAAAGCATTAATTGTCACTGGGGTATGAAGGTTATAAATAAGACGGGAGTTCTTGCCACCTTCTTAATTGACTCCCAGAACTGAAGGCAACTCATTTCCTCATTTCCTCATTCGGGAAAGCTGTGATCCTTTTAGTCAGATTATGTTCGGCGCAAGCAAATACTTGCCCGTGACGAGGCAGAATTCTGAGGGCGAATGATGGCAACGTTAAGCTGGCACGCGGCGCTGGGGGCAGGGAAGTGGCGGGTTCTGAGGATGGCCAAGACTGCCCAAACCGGGGAGCTGCTGGCGACGTGAGACGCCCCACGCGAAACTGGGATCAATCGCTCTGCCTCAAAGTGGCGCTTAAGGAGCCCTGCACATCCCTCCGCAGGGGAAGGCGGGCTAGGGAAGCACAGCCCTGTGGTCCACTGGTCAGCGGGGGCCCCTCTGGAAGTCACCCTGGGCCTGCCTGCTTGGGCTGGCAGCAGCAAGAGGAAGGCCAAATGGACTGAGGAATGGGAGCCTGGACCTTTTCTGGGCCTCAGTTTCTCCATCTGGGAAACTGGGATGTGAGGCGAGCTCTGAGTGACATGGCAGGTGGGCCAGGGGGCTGCAGGGCGGAAACACAGGCTCCTCCAGGCTGTGACCTGGACACTACACTCACGCCTGAGTGACCGAGACCCCCCCCCCCCGCCCCGTGTCCCACAGCCACCGTGCAACAACCACAATGGTGGTCTCGTTACCTCAAAAGGGAAATCCATGGCCAGCACCGTACACAGGCTCTCAGGGGTACAAGGGAAGTTCTGGAGCCCCACAAATTTAAACTGAAAGACAGAAGAACGGAAGAAGAGTAACGGAGTGTGCAGGAACTGAAAAGCTGTCGCAGAGGAGAGGAGATCTCAGTGTCATCCTTCCCAAGCCTCTTCGGAAGGGTTGGACCAGGGGTTCCCGGCCTTGCTTTGTAGATGAGGATCACCTGAAGAACTCCTGAAAAACTGCTGATGCCCAGGTCCCATCCCCAGATTCTGGCTGAACTGGTTTGGAATGGGGCTAGGCGTTTAACTGATATTATCCAGTTGATTGGAACATGCAGTCGAGGCCAACCACCACCCTCCTGGGCTGGGCTTAGGGGTTACAGGTCACCCTCAGTCCTGTGACTGCTGCCCTGGCAAAGGGCCAGTGAAGTAAATCCCTGAATTTTAGATTTGTATATATTTTTATTTATTTATTTTTTGGGGGGTGGGCACACCCGGTGGTGCTCAGGACTTACCCCTGGCACTGTGCTCAGGGGTCACTGCTGGAGGTGCTCGGGGAACTATAAGAGGTGCTGGAAATTGAACCCAGGGTGGCCGTGTGCGAGGCAAGCATCTTACACTCTGTACTATCACTCCAGCCCCTCGATAACTTTCTTGGAACGACACCTGGCAGGGCTTGGAAGGACTAGGAATGCTAGGGATCAAACCCTGGGCCACAGCATTCGAAGCATGCACTCCAGTCCTTTAAGCCATCTTTCCAGGCCCATATAATTATTATTTTTAGATGACCAACTAATCCAAACTAATCCCAGTAATAAAGAACTCTAACACCATGCCTTACAGGGTTGAGTTTGGTTTTTTGTCCCAGTTCTTCTTCTTCTGGTAACTTTGAATGCATCCAGTAGAACCGGAAATCAGTCTGCCGGAGAGAAGAGAAACAGCAAACACAGCTCATCTCGAACTGTGCTGTCCACACACAGCCCGTCTCAAATAGCCGCCTGCCCTTCTTGCAACACTGATCGTTCCCTTAGAGCAACGCAAGGTCAAGAGGGTATTATAAAATCTTTGAAGGTCTTTCCTTAAACGCCAGTAGATTTTTAAAATCTCTGACAGAAATACTGTTTGTTTTCTGGACCACACCCGGCAGTGCATGAGGGTCAGAGGTGCATCCGGGCTCAGAGCTTGGGGGCTGCAGTGCTGAGGGGACCACATGATACCAGGGATCAAATCATACAGTGCTCCAACCTCTGAGCCATCTTCCCGTCCCAACGGGATTCTGAACAGCAGAAAAAGCCTATCACCGAACCTATTATGTGTCAAGCTCCAAAGTAAGAATTTTACACACCTACTAACCCTCAAGCACTCTCTGTGAGCTGATACTATCTCCATCTTATTTAATTATTTTGAGGCCACACCTGGTGATGCTCAGGAGGGCTATTCCTGGCTCTGCACTCAGGGCTCACTTCTGGCGGCATGCCGGGGAGCGAAACTCGGTCAGCCGTGTGCAGGGCTAATACCTTACCCACTGTACTATGGCTCTGGACCCTATTTATTTTATTATTTGGACCTACCCAGGGGCCAATCCGATTCCTATTGGCGCTTGGGGGACCATGCAGTGCCAGGGGTTAAATCCACGCCCCTCAGGTGAAGATACACATCAGCCCAGGGGTTCTATAGCTCAGAGATCATGATACTGCCCAGGTGCTCCCAGAACAGACTGGGGGCAGAGGACAGTACCACTCCACAGCACATGTCACCCTAAGTTAAGCTTGTTTCATGCTCATTTTGAGGATCAGAAACAATCATATAGTTGTTAACTTTTTTTCTTTTTGGGTCACACCCAGTGATGCTCACGGTTACTCCTGGCTCTGCACGCAGGAATTACTCCTGGCGGTGCTTAGGGGACGATATGGGATGCCGGGGATTGAACCTGGGTCGGCCGCGTGCAAGGCAAATGCCCTACCCACTGTACTATCACTCCAGTCCCAGTTGTTAACTTGTAAACCATTTTGTCCTCTAAATTGCCAGTATGAGCCCTCGAATAACTGTTTTGGTTTTTCGTTTGTTTGTTTGTTTTTACAGTTTTGTTTTTTCAGGCCCTCTCTGCTGTACTATCGCCATTAGAGAACTATTTTAGTTCTCTAAAATACTGATGGCTTCTGTCATTGGTGATACCGCCACAAAAGACGGTGGCAATGGGGCAGGGGAGTGGGCGTGTGGGGTGTTTCCCGTCTCCACTGGAAACTCCTTCCAGCGCCAACCGCTCAGAGTCCGCAGGCTGCAGGCTCACAGCCCAGCAGCACCCGCTGCTCTCCGGGTCTGGAGCCACTTGGGGAAGGAGCGGAAGTGGCAGGAGTGTCCCTGGAGGTGCCGCGCATCCCACCCGCTCCTCCCGCCAGCCCCGGTGCTACACCCGGCCAACAGCCCCAGCTCACCGCTCTGCGGCTCCCCACCCCCGGGCCCCAGAACCGCTGTCCTTCCTCTCGTCCCATCTCCTCCGCCTTTCAAATGAAGCTAATTCAAACACGCGCGGAGACGAGGAGCACGAGATAACGCTCTTGACGCACCACATCCTGTGCGTACGAAGAAGCTGGTCACGTACCAAACCCACAGGCTGAGCCACTTTCCCGGGAGGAGGGGCGCCCCCTCACCTGGCAGTCATAGAAGGGGTGTCCCCGCCAGCACATCACGTCCAGGACATAGTAGGTCTGGCTGACCTCGCTGTAGATGCAGTCCAGGATGGTGTAGTCTGAGACACACGGACAAAGTCAGTAGGGGCCGCCCTTCCAAGCCAGGGGGCCTCCGCCACATTTGGGGGTGGGGGGCTGAGAAGGGTCGCAGCTCAGGGGCCTGGGAACAGAACCCAGTCCCAGCAGCCTCGGCGCCAGCACCAAGGGACCCATGCTGGTCCCAGAGATGCTTCCTCACAGCCCTTCCCGGAATCCTGGTGCCAGGCGCCCGGATGAAAAATGGCACAAAAGGGGTGAAAGCAACACCCGAGCCAAGTGGGGGGCTCTCAGCTTTCACACAGGCCTGACAGGAGCTCACGGCTGAAAGTGAATCATCTCCCGGTTTAGCTGATCATTGCTCTAAATCCTCACTCAACACCGTCACGGGGACTGGAGTGAAGGAGGGCGCCTGCCTTGTACATGGCCAACCCGGGTTCGATCCCCGGCATCTCATATGGTCCCCCAAGCTTTCCAGGAATGATTCCTGAGCACAGAGGCAGGAAAACCCCCTAAGCACTGCCGGTTATGGCCCCTAAACCAAAAGCAAACAACACCCCCCCCCAAAAAAAAACCCACCATCATCTGGGCTCTGGAGCGATAGCACAGCGGGTAGGGCGTTCGCCTTACAAGCGGCCAACCTGGCCGACCCGAGTTCGATTCCTCCGCCCCTCTCGGAGAGCCCGGCAAGCTACCGAGAGTATTCGATATGCCAGACACAGTAACAACAAAGTCTCCAATGGAGACGTTACTGGGCCCGCTTGAGCAAATCGACGATCAACGGGAGGGCCTTTACTTACTTACTTACATCTGGACAGTGACATAAAGGGGAAACAGGTCCTTCAATAATCTGCTTAGTTTAATGTCAACTGTGAATGTTTCATTCCCAACAATGTTATAACAAAAAGACACTGATGGGGCCTGGGAGTGGGCTCGGAGGGTTGGGACACTTGCTCTGCAGGCGGAGGCAGGACCCGGTTCCCTGCGCACAGCCAGGGAGCCCTCCCGCATGCATCACGCCGGGAGTAGCCCCCAACACTGCCTGGTGAGGCCCCCAGAACAGAAAGCAACAACAGAACAAAACGACACTGAAGAAAACGTATCACTCAAGCTGCAACACAGATGGATCTGGAGAGCATCATTTTGAGTGAGATTGGCCAGAGGGAGAGGACCAGACCAGAATGGTCCCTCTCAGATGCGGGAGATGAAGAAACCGCCCATGGAAACGCCCAGTGGCAACAGAAACAAGAGCAGGAGAACTGGTCTTCCGTGGAAAGCCTGCAGAGGCACCAGGGCAGGGGCGAGGGGGATAGGTTAGGAAAGGAAAGGCCAGAAAACGGGGGAGGAGACGGTGCCTGTTGTGAGGCCAACTGAGGGGTGGGAGGGAAGTGAACACTGATGAAGGGACTGTTGGGACAACATACGCCTGAAAATCGATCATAAATTTCTTTGTAACTTTGTAATTAGTGGTGATTCGATTGAGAGAGAGAGAGAGAGAGAGAGAGAGAGAGAGAGAGAGAGAAAGGAAAGAAAAAAAAACAAAAACAGAGGCTGGAGAGACAGAGTAAGATGTTTGCTTTGTACATGGCCGACCAGGGCTCAATCCCCGGCACCCCATATGCTCCCCTGAGCACTGCCAGGAGTAAGCCCTGAAACTAAAAAAAAAAAACAAAAACAACAACAACAAAAAAAAAAAACAAAGCACAATCTGGAGGGCCTGCTCTGTGGGGGACAGGAACTGCAAGCAGCCACTGTCTTTAAGGAAGTTTTCACCCGAGGCAGGAGGGAAGCGGGCCACAGCGGAGGGAACGAAAAGCTGAATGACTCGTACTGTGTAAACACAAATTGAAAAAGCAGCAGAGTTTCAGAAAAAGGAGACGGAGCAGCAGGAAATGCTTTGCCGGCGAGAGGGGCTAAAAATAGAATCATCTGGGATCAGAGCATCCAAACTCCAGGGCGGTGGGGAGAGGGCAGGGGGTTCCGGGCTGGAGCAGGAGGGCCGCGGGCGCCAAGGCCCAGCTGGAGAGGGAGCGAGCACTCCGGCCAGGGGGATGGTGGCCAGTGGTACAGAGGCCAGTGCAGGGCTGTGTGGGGACGGGGGGGGGGCGGGGGGACGTGCGGCTGGGGCCAGGGCCCATGGGAAGCAGGCTAAAGGCCAACGGAGTGCAGACGGAGGACACAGGGCCACGGCGGGGGCCCGGGAGGCGGGAGGAGAGCGGGGCCAGGCCCCCTCGGGCACAGAATCCTCCAACTGCCTCCTGTGGGCAAGTTACTCAGCCTCCGCGACCTTGCGCTCCGCTCTGTGGCTGGGCCCGGTGGGAGAAGGCGTCTCTCGTCGGGACAATGACTACCCAGAAGAGAATCTGGCAGGGCTCACTGCGCCCTTCCTCTCTGGGATGTTTCCCAGCCTGCCACAGAGCCTGGGGAAGGTGTAGGAGCCCTAACCCGGGAACCAGGGTGGCAGGGTCTGGGTGACTTCCGGAAAGTACCTTTGGCCGTGGTGGCGTTTCTCCTGTTGCCTCCGGGCAGGAGGGAAGGAAACCTGTTGACGCAGTAGCCGCTCTTGGTGTAGGCACTGGTGGACCCCTGCATGGGAAGACGGCGACCCCTGTTCTCCGCAGGCCACTCCTTGCCCTCTCGCTTCCACATCCGGAGGGAGGACTTGGGGTGTCCTCAGCCCAGGAGGGTGCTTGGTGAAGCCCTCCCAAGGGAAAGTCTGGTCCCCTGCCAGGCACCGCTGCTGGGGCTGGGGCCCGAGGCGTCCCCTGCCAGGCCAGGCCACTTACTCACCCTGGAGGCCACAATCAGGGATCTTTTACCAACCGGGCACACAACCACAATCCACTCCTGCCCCAGGTCGGAGGGCACGTCGATCAGCCACTCGGACAGCATCAGCTAGAACACAAGATATGGGGGTTACCAGGACCGGGGCGATGGACAGCGGGCAGGGTGCTCGCCTTGCACACGGCCAACCTGGGTTCAATCCCCAGCATCCCATAAGGTCCCCCGAGCACCGCCAGGTATAGCAAAGAAAGAAAGAAAGAAAGAGGATTTAAACCTTCCAGGGCACTGTCAGCAATATACCCCCCCAAGTGTAGCATGGAAGTCAGTGAGGGAGAACGACGGCTGCTGGGGGCTGAGGTCTTGCCTCACAGGCAATTGACCGTAGAAAACTCCATTGTAACACGTATGGTTCCCCAGCACCATTGGGTGTGATCCCTGTGCACGGAGCCAGGAGTAAGTACTGGGCTTACACAAAGAATGAGGAAAGGAAGGCTGGAGGGGGTCCTTCTCCCACTCGCCCTTCTGACCGCCAGGAGGGAGGCCACTCACCAGGGCCTCCACTACCTACAGTCACACCCATTCTTAATGCATGCCCCCGCCCCGCCCCAAACCTGGCCAATGGGACTCTCCTCCTTTCTGTCTGCCCACCTCTGTTCCAGGGGCTACCTCAGAGATGAATTAGGCCCTGACCCTGAGACTCTCTTAGAACTGACCATTTCCCATTCCAGTAACTCAAATACTGCATGAAGGGATGTTTGGAAACATGCATGAAAGAGAAACTGAATAACCGATGTTAACCCTCAACACTCGTAGCCTGCCATGGATACAAACACTTCGGCCTATCCACTCATCCTCCCCACTAACTCTTCCAGTGTTCCTCCCTGGCTTCTGAGCCCCACCCCAATGTGTTTCAAAGCTGACTCCTGGCTCTGTCCTCTGGGTTTATTCCTTGCTCTGTGCTCAGGGATCACTCCCAGCGGTGCTCAGGGACTGAACCTGCCCCTGCCGCATGCCAGGCAAGTGCCCTGGGCCTGGACTCTCCCCAGCCCTCCAACTTAATCTTCCATCTCTTTCCCCTCTCCCCAATAAACACTCAATCCCCCGCAGCTGGGGTCATAGTTCAAGTGCTCAACATGTGAGACCCCCAAATCCAGCCCCGTCCCCACCATACCACCGGCCCTTGCCCCCTAACAGTGAGGTCCTCATTAAAGCAGAACATGGGCAGAGCACTAACAACAGGGCCTAAGGCATTTGCCTTGCACGTGTCTGACCTGGGTTCGATCCCCAGGTTACGGTCCTCCGAGCCACTTCTCAGCGTGGCCCCAGAACAATGACAACAAGAAAACAGAGCTCAAACTTTAATCTCCTGAAAAACAAAACTGTTTCATCACTCTGCATCTCTGCTAAGCTGCCCTAAAAACAGCTTCCCATTCAAGATGCTGCTCCCCACCCACGCTGAAACGAACACCCTCGGACCAGATTTCCTGGCCCACAGTCCTGTTAAAGGTCATCCGTGACCTTCCCCGGGCAGTGTCCTTCCCTCACCTCCCCTCGCCCTCCCCACTCCCTCTGGTCACACTGCCCAGTACCACGTCTTCCCTGACGCCCACTCGCTGAGGCCCGGGTCAGAGCCATTCTGTCTGGGCCTGCAGATCCGCCTCCAAAGCCATGCAATGAACCTCAGGGCTGTTGCGGGTCTCGCTGGAGGATTGGTCTCGTTCACTTCCACTAGTGTCACTTTCACAGCCAAGACGATGCCTCCCAGTTCTCCTCTGCCATCTTCCGACTTCTTTCCTTCCCCCCAGACATGTAGTCCCCGCTGTTCACTGTGCACCTCCTCTCTCTGTATCCCAAACTCAGCATATCCGAAGCAGAGCTCATGCATTGCCTGTCACTGTCACTGTCACTGTCCTCCCGTTGTTCATCGATTTGCTCGAGTGGGCCCAGTATCATTGTGAGACTTGTTACTGTGTTTGGCATATGAATATGTCATGGGTAGCTTGCCAGGCTTTGCTGTGAGGGTGAGATACTCTCGGTAGCTTGCCGGGCTCTCCGAGAGGGACGGAGGAAGCCCCGTGCTCCCTCTTCTGCAGTCTGTAGCCTCAGAAACGGCATCTCCACTCTCTTACTAAATTTTTTTTTTGTTTTGGGGTCACACCAACTGTGCTCAGGACTTATTCCTGGCTCTGCGCTTAGGGATCACTCCGGGCTGACCTGGGAGGCCATACGATGAACTGGGGATCAAACCTGGGTCAGCCACGTACAAGGCCAGTGCCTTCCCTGCTGTGACTCTAATCAAGGCGGGAAGAGTAGATTGAAGCCAGCTGCTTAAGGTATTCAGCTGTGAACTAAAAATTCAAGCCTACTAAAGCTAGCTCTCTGACCCCTATAACAAAATGTTGAACTTTGTGCTGCTAAAGATGCCACCCCCAGACGGGCTGGAGTGATAGTCCAGTGGGTAGGGCATTTGCCTTGCACTAGGCCTACCCAGGTTTGATCCCCAGCGTCCCATATGGTCCCCTGAGCATTGCCAGAGGTAATTCCTGAGAGCAGAGTCAGGAATAACTCCTGAGCATTGCCAGGTGGACCCCCCCCCTAAAAAAAAAGATGCCACCCCCAGAAGGACAGCACAGGGGCTTGGAGCACTGCCGTGGATGTACGAAATCACAGGTTCAAATTCCTGCTCTATATCATTAACCAGTAGGGAAATGCAAATTAAAACAATGACACACCGCCTCAGATTCAGTACGAGGCGATGGCCGGAGAGTAACAAGCACTGACAACGAGTAGAGAAGCTGCAACGGCAGGGTCACCCTGGAACTCCAGTATAGCCTGTAAATCCTTAATGGGCTAAAGACATTGATACCATAATGACCGATCAAGAGAAATGAAAACACTATGTTCACTTAAGAACTTGTAACTGAGGGCTGGAGGTTTACGGTGATTGCCTCGGAGAGCCCGGCAAGCTACCGAGAGTATCTCGCCCGCATGGCAAAGCCTGGCAAGCTACCCGCGACATATTGGCTACGTCAAACACAGTAACAAGTCCCACAATGGAGACGTTACTGGGCCCGCTCGAGCAAATCGATGAACGAAGGGAGGACAGTGCTATTACAGTGCCTTGGACAGGCCTACCCAAGTTCAGTCCTGGCCCAGCGGATGGCACCCAGAGTCCCTTCAGGAGTGATCTCTGAGCACAGGACCAGGAATTAGCCCCAAGCAATGCCTGGTGTGGCTCAAAATCCAAACAAAATAAAGTAATAAAATAACATTTGGCATGTATTAAAAAAACAAGACTGACATTCTAACACATCTACATTAACGAAATACGAAAACCTTCCTTCCAAGGTAAGGAAATCAAACACAGACGGACAAAACACGTATGATTCAGGTGCTGAGAGACAGGACATCAGGCAAGACTGCCTTGAGACTGATGCCTGGCACCCCACATGGTTCCCCCGATCCCTGAGCGTGGACTCAGAAGGAAGCCCTGAGCACCAGCAGGTGTGGCCCTGACCTCCCCAGCCCCCCAAACAATAATTTTGACTCTGCGTTGTACAATAATGGTCGTGATACAAGAGCCACTACATCTTCTCGGGACTACTCACCTGATTGGCATAACGCTTTGGCAACTTCTTGCCCGCATCAATGTCCATTTCTTCATCGTCTTTCTTATCTTCCTCCTCACTGTCCATCCCTGCCCAGTCATCTTCAGCCAGCCTTCTGGCATGGTTCACATAATCCAGCCGCTTGCTGGAAAAACAAGTGGCGAGGACTCAGTAGACGATACCCTTCAGGCCAGAGAGACAGTGCGGAGGGCTGAGCACATGCTTGCATGCAGGGGACGGAGGGGGCCCAGGTTCCATCTGGAGAACTGCACGATCTCCCAAGCATCCCTGGGAGGGATGCCCAAGTACAGGGCTAGGAGCAACTTCAGTGCCACCAGATACGGCCTCTCCCAAAAACTAAAAAACATGGGTTCGGAGCAATAGTACAGCAGGCTGGGCACTGGCCTTGCATGGTCAACCCAACTCTGATCCCTGGCACCCCAAGCACCACTGGGAGTGATCCCTGAGCACAGAGCCAGGAGAAAGCCTTGAGCTCTGCCAAGGGCGACCCAAAAACAAAAACAAAAGAAAAAACCTAAAAGAGGGGGGCTGAGGAGATAACACAGGGGTGAAGATGCTCGTCTGCCTCCTGCCACCACTGGTTAAAATTCCTAGAACCATAAATAGTTCCCCAAGCACCGCTAGGGATCAGTCCTGAGCACAGAGCCAGGAATAGACCCTGAGTCTACCAGGTGTGGCCTTCAAACCCCAAAAACGTACCCAAAAAGTGAGTTTTTTCCCTTTTTTGTGGGGGTGTGGAGATGTTTGGGCCATACCTGGCAGTTCGTAAAAGCTACTCCCAGCTCACACTCAGGTGTCTCCTGGCGGTGTGCAGGGGGGCCGTAACATGCCGGGGATCAACCCCAGGTCTCATGTGCAAAGCATGTGCTCCAGCCCTCTGAACTGTCCCCAGACCCAGCGACAGATTTACCCAACATAACTGAGGAGGAACATGGGCGTTCTGGGGAGGACTTGGGGATGACAGTTCCTTTGTATGGTTGATCTAGTGTCTGCTTTCTTCCAGGGCCCCAGAGAGAAATCGCCTCTGAAAATAGCAGCTTTCCTCGGAATTTCCTGAGAATGGGTAAAGTGAAACATTTAAAAGAATGTGCAAGGCCTCCCAGCTAGAAAGGCTGACGCCACTCTTACCCAGACTCTCACTTCCCATCCGGAGAGAGGCGACACCTCCCTGCATGGAGAAGAGCCGGGCCCAGGGGACTGAGGCAAGGAAGCTCTGCAGCACAGTAAAAGGGCTGAAAGAAAGGCAGCTTCTGGAACTTTCCACTTGATGGAGCTTTCTGAGGATTGGCCAAACCTTCTCCGGTTTCTCACTTGCCAGAACAGTTCCTTAATTTATTATTTAATACAGCTTACTCCTTGTTTTCCTATAGTGCTATCCTCTACACACTCTAGAGAATCTGGGCACCTGAGAAGGAAACCTCTTGGACTCTGACAAATGAGTGGTAGACTGCACATGAATGCCTGCTAGCAGCATCCTTAAGGCGAAGGCAGGCGGTCACTGTGGAACGTCTGAAACAGACAGCTGTCACACACGCTGGGCAACATGTGCAAGGCCAGCGGCCTTGATTTATGGAACAAGAGAGAAGCCGTACTTCTGTACACCCTGTACCAGGGTGGTACCTGGTATGCTAAGGGTCCCTCTGCGCAACACCCAGAAGAAACCTGAATGCTGGGCTGGGAGTAGCTTTCAGGCACTGCCAGGTGTGGCCCAAACTTCTCCCCCCCCCAAAAAAAAAGAAGACATGTACGAAAGGACAGACATCTCTGGTTCTTCCTGGGGCAGTGTTTGAAAGCACAAAGGATGACCATCTGCTAGAACCCGTCAGCAGGGCATTAGTAAGGTTGTATTATAAACTACACCTTCAACGCAATACCAGACCTAACATATAGCACAAAGGTTAACAACACACAACAGAGCTGGAGCAATAGTGCAGTGGGGAGGGCATTTGCCTTGCAGGCAGCCAACCTGGGTTCGATCCCCATCATCCTATATGGTCCCCCGGGTACCACCAGGAGTGATTCCTGAGTGCAGAGTCAGGAGTAACCCTTGAGCATGGCCAGGTATGACCCAAAAGGCCAAAATCAAACAAACAAACAAAAATACCCCACACAACAACAATAGAATACCTAGTAACATAAAAAAAGGAAAGAGGAAGAATTATTAGGGATCTTTCCAATAAAATACTCCTTTTGTTTTGGGGCCTGCTGCTGTATTACTCCTAGTTCTGGTGGTGCTCAGAGGACCATATACTGCCAGGGACCAAACTCAAATCTTGAGAATGTAAAACTCATGCTTAGCCCATTGAGTGATCCTCTATTCCCTCAAAAAAAGCACTAAATGAGAGTTGGGAATGAAGCCCAGTGGTAGAACACTTGCTTTTCATGTGTCAAACACTAAATTTGATCCTAGCCAGTCTGTCTGTCTGTCTCTCTGTCTCTGTCTGTCTCTCTGTCTCTGTCTCTCTCTCTCTCTCTCTCTCTCTCTCTCTCACACACACACACACACACACACACACACACACACGGGCAACCTGGATTTTATCCCTGGCACCACATATGGTCCCCAGAATCCTTCAGGAGTGGTCCCTGAACAAGAGTCAAGGGTAAGCCCTGAGCATCATTGGGGATGGCTCCAAACCTGACAAAAAAAGGAGCACAACATGCCAGCTACAATGTACTTGAACACAACTGAAAGGGGCCATCCTGGTAAGGCCCACAAGCCAGTATGCAACCCCAAGCCAACGAAACAACAACAGGGAATGGAAATGGAGGTGAGGAGGGAACAAATGTGCACAAGTGGATAAGTAACTCCATGACAGAGCACGTGCAGTACATGTACATGGGTGTGGGTTCTGGCTTACTGGGCTTGATCTTCACATTAAAAAAAAAAAGCACAATGGCATACAGTGCACTGATACTTGTAACAGGAAAAACAATGTCTCTGCATGCAGTCACACATTCACTCTTATGAGCAGTGTCTAACTCTGAAAGACAGCTAAAGAGATAGTACAGGGGTCAAGACGCTGGCCCTGAATGTGGCCGGTTCTGATTCAAGCCTCAAGCACAGAGTCAAGAGCAGTCCTGAGCACAGGACCTGAGCTCCCACTCCTCCCCCCAAAAAACTTTGGTTTGTTTAGTGACACAAAATAATTTCCATTTATAAAAATTAGCTTTGGGGCTGGAGCAATAGCACAGCGGGTAGGGTGTTTGCCTTGCATGCGGCCAACCTGGGTTCGATTCCCAGCATCCCATTTGGTCCCCTGAGCACAGCTAGAGGTAATTCCTGAGTGCAAAGCCAGGAGTAAACCCTGTACATCGCCGGGTGTGACCCAAAAAGCAAAAACAAATAAAAAAAAATTAAAAATTAGCTTAGTGGTGGTATGGTGCCGCCAGCAGGTCAATCTGTACCTGTGAGGCGAGTGCATCAGCAGCCTGATGGCGCCTTCAGACTTCCAGATACCCCAAAATTGCTGCTGTGCCTTTGGCCAGACCCCAAAAACGTGGGGCAAAGTTTACCAAGAAAGTAAACAGCCAAAAGTTAGGTATGTGGGAGACACACCCACAAACCACCTCCGGCTCAGCTATATAATTGGAGGCGTGGCCTCTCTGGTTCCTGATTGAACTAATGAACGGCCATGATCCCAGAGAGTCAGAAACAAATCTTGAAACCCAACGGCTTTTGGCAGAAATGCGTCCGCTCCCTGCAGTAAGTTACTGGCACTGGGCCACCCCAGGTGGGAATAGGTTTCATGCCTTGGCCTGTTCCCCCTGGCGGCCCGCTGGCCGCCATCCTCCAGAGGCCACTGGACAGTCAGGATTGGGCCCTCCTTGACGAGACACCTGGGGCCTCACGGGATGGTGGTGGAGCCGGCCCTTTCCTTCCCATCCCAATGAGACCCCAAGTCGCTGCCCACAAATGGCCTCTCCGGCTCTTCCTCAAGCTGCTTAATGGACATGATCCCAGAGACTCAGAAACAAATCTCAAAACCCAGCAGCTTTTGGCAGAAATGCATCCACCACGCAGTACGTTACTATCACTGGGCTACCCCGGGGGGAAAAGGGTGCTGTCCCTCCGCCTGCTCCCCATTGGCAGCTTGGTGGCCGCCATCTTCCAGAGGCCATTGGACAGTCAGGTTTGGGCCTGTCTGTTGTGACAGACACGTGGGGCCTCGCGGGATGACGGTGGAGCCAGCCCTTTCCTCCCTACCCCAACGAGACTAAGAATCGCCGCCCACGAACGGCCTCTCTGGCTCCTGATCAAGCTGCTTAATGGCCATGATCCCAGAGACTCAGGAACAAATCTCGGAACCCAGCAGGTTTTGGTAAGAAATCCCTCCAGATTTGTGTTAAAATTTCGGAATTTCAAAATGACATTACCACTACTGCAGCCACATGACATCATGTTATTCATAACCAGCAATAGAAAACAAATTGTCTACTGTCGTCTTTTCGGCAGATATGAGTGTTGGGGTAAGGTAAGGTAAGGTAAGGTAAAGGCCCTCCCGTTGATCGTCGATTTGCTCGAGCGGGCCCAGTAACGTCTCCATTGGAGACTTTGTTGTTACTGTGTCTGGCATATCGAATACTCTCGGTAGCTTGCCGGGCTCTCCGAGAGGGGCGGAGGAATCGAACTCGGGTCGGCCGTAAAATCCCAAATAATAATGGTGGATGTGGTGTCGAAATTTTGAATGTAATCAAAGTATAGAGAGTAATTTGGAAATCATCTGCTCCACAGGTAGGGGGAGGGTGGGGGATGGGGGTATACTGGTGTTTTTGGTGGTGGAGAATGGGCACTGGTGAAGGTACGGGTGTTTCATTGTATGACCGAGACTTAAACCAGAAAGCTTTGTAACTGCTCTCACGTTGATTCAATAAATAAAATCATAAAAAAAGGAAAAAGAAAAAAAAATAAAGAAATTAGCTTAGAAAAGAGAGTGTATGTGTGTGTGAGAGAGAGAGAGAGAGAGAGAGAGAGAGAGAGAGAAAGAGAACACAGGTTTTTCCAGAGTGAAAAAATACCCCCCAAAAGCTAATTTTTTGGGTTATATTTTAAATTTTAAACCATAAGAACCTCACCTACTCCAAAATAACTACTTACAGCAATGTAAAGATGATCCAGAGGTGGGACCAGAGAGAGAGCTCAACAGGCCGGAAGGCTGAACTTAAAAGAAGGCCGAATCCCCTCCCCAGCATCATGTTGGTCTTCCAGCACCAAGCTGGGAACAGCTTCTGAGTACCGCTGTGTGTCTGAGAAGACCAGGAATGGGTGGGCTGGGGCAACAGTACAGGGCTTCCTTGCACGAAGTTGACCTGGGTTGGATCCCCCGCATCCCGAGTCCACCAGGACTGATCCCTGAGCACAGAGCCAGGAGTAAGCCCTGAGCACTGCTAGGTGTGACCAAAAAACAAATTAAGTAATAAATAAAAAACTAGGAACTGAGCATGCATATGACCTAGCAATTCCATTTCTCAGAATATACCCCAAAGATCCAAAAGTCCCATTCACAATAGCCAGAATCTGGAAGCAACCCAAGTGTCTGAGAACAGATGAGTAGATAAAAAACCTTTGGTACGTGTTACGCAGTGATATACTACTTGACTGTAAGAACAGATGAAGTCATGTAATTTGCTGCTATGTGGATGGGTCTGGAAAGTGTCACGCTGAGTGAAGTCAGCCAAAAGGAGAGGGACTGACACTGAACGATCTCGTGTGTGGCGTACAAAGAAACTGAACAGGGAATAATGGCAAATGCCCAAAGGTAACAGACACTGAGAACGGTTCTTAGTAGGAACCTTACTAAGGGGAAATGGTCACACGGGTGCAGGAAAGAGGTCACTCTAGGGGAGAGAACTGTGCTGGATTGTGTTATCCATGAAACCCTATCATTGAACCATGGTGCCTAAAATAAAATTAAAAAAAAAAAGAAATCCAGGGATGGTCAGCAGCCGACTGAGCTCTGAGGTCCAGTGTGCAAACACTGCAAACAGCAGGTCCTGGGCAGTGCCTGCAGCTGTGGTCTTGAGGCACAGCTCTTTCCAGCAGACATTCAGATCTGCACTCACTCTGCTGTCAATCTTCATCTCCAAACTGGCTTTGGGAAAGCCCTGGGACACAGTTGCCAGGGCCCTTCCTTGGCCACCAAGCCCATCTGCACCAAGCCGCTGAGCAAGAAGCATGTGACTGGGGTCCCGTATAGGGCAAACTGACCACCTGACCACCAGAGATGGTCTGACCGCCAGATATCGGCATGACCACCAGAGATCTGCATCTCTGCATTTCTAAGAAGTGGACATTATCCAATTCATGCCGATGAGGCTGAAGACACAGTGGTGAAGGAGCTCATGGTAGGTGGTGGTGGGGTTGCAATACTCCCTCAGCACGATCTCTGCACCCTGAGAATCTAAGATCTGAGCTGCCCCCTCCGAAGTCACACCCACCAATAAATTCTACTTTTTCTTGAAAAAAAAAAAAAAAGGTGGGGGTGCCCAGAGAGATAGTAGAGGGTAGAGTATTGGCCTTGCACACCAACAGCCTGGATTTGATCTCCAGTATCCCCTATGGTCTGCCAACTCTGCCAGGAGTGACCAAGTGCAGAGCCAGGAGTAAGCCCTAAGCACTTCCGAGTGTGGCCCCACAAACAAACAAAATATATACATATAGACATTAGCAAGAGGGACACTGAGGTATGAGGGGGTTGGAGAGGAAGGATCTTAGAAAGACTCTGTAAGCTTGGGGCACTCCACTGAACACAACCAGCCATGGAGCACAGCAAAATGCGATGATATGAAAACTTGCAGCTGTTAAGTTCCTCCCGATTCCTGATTCCAGGAATACCCAGGAGAGGCTTGTGGTACACAGAGGACAGAGGCACAGGCCTCGCCGACTCGCAGCTCAGCCTCGAGTTGTTCCCCCTCTCTTTCCCCGTTTGCTCATTTGGCATTTGGGAAGAAGTGCATGGAAGACATTTCCTCAGACTCCTGTGGAGTTATTTGTCTTGAACTCCCGAGGGCTTAGAGAACATTTGGACTGCAGGCAGACAGGAAGACCACCCCAAGGCCAGGCTTCAGCGTGCAGAAGCCACACAGCGAAGGCAGGGCGTGGCTCGCACAAGGCCCTGACTGCAACGTTCAGCACTGCAAGGAAAGCAAGGAACACGCAACCCAGGAATTGGACTTTTCCTTTAAGACTTCATTCAGTTTCTCCCTCCCTCCTCTCTTCCTCTGCTGAAGGCATAAAAAATGGCCACCTCAGGAAGGATTTCTCTCTCCCAACAGAACAGGCCAGAATATACACCTCAGGGGGCTGGAGCAATAGCACAGCGGGTAGGGCGTTTGCCTTGCACTCGATCTGGCTTTGATTCCCAGCATCCCATATGGTCCCCCGAGCACTGCCAGGAGTAATTCCTGAGTTCAGAGCAAGGAGTAACTAACTCCTGTGCCTCCCCGGGTGTGACCGAAAACAAACCAACAAACAAAAGAATATCCACCTAAAAAGGGTTTATGTGGAAGGAGGTTCTATGCTGACAAGGCTCAATCTTCTGAATGATCCCCAATTTCCAAACCTGGGAGACAGTAGCCAAAGAGTTAAAAAAATCCCTTACGATTTCTGCAGTTCCAGTAATTTGCGCCGCCGCTCACTCTGCTCCAGAGAACTGTACTTGGACTTGTACTGGGACAGGCGGGGGTGCGGAGCCGCTGTGCTGTTTAGATCCTGAGACACAGAAAAACTACCAGCCAGTGCTTGACTCAACTCTTCCATTTTCCCTGCAAAGGAAAACATAAGAAAATGATTTCCCGTGTAAAGGCGGTTATGATGTAACATGAGGGTTGCATTCCTAAAACTCATTTACCTAAGGGCTCAACTGTTTCCAAGAAGTTAAAGGGTAAATGAGTTTGGGCCGGAGAGATAGGACGAGGGAAAGACATTTTTCTGGCATGCAGTCAACCCGGGTTCCATTTCCAGCACATAACAGTCCGCCAGTAGTGATCCCTGAGCACAGAGCCAGGCGTAAGTTCTCAACACCACTGGGTGTGGCCCTGAAATAAAACTTCCTAGCACCACAAACGGTCCTCAAAGCACTGCCAGAGGTCACTCCTGAGCAGTCAGGAACAACCCAAGCATCACAGGGTGTGGTCCCCAAAACAAAACATAAAAAAAGAAAAAGGGAAATTCAGCTCCAGAAGCTGGATAGTACAAGGGTTAAGCATGTACCTTGCGTGCACTGACCCGTTTTTCTTTATAATCTTTCTAGAGGTGCTGTTTTTTGGGTTTCATTTGTTTTGCAACCACACCTGGTATTGTTCAGGGATTATTCCCAACTCCGCGCCTCAAGAATTACTTCTGCTGGGGCTCAGGGGACCACATGGGGTGCCGGGGACTGAATCCAGGTTGGTATGTGCAAGGCCAGTGCCCTACCCGATGCCCTATCGCTGCAGCTCCTACTGAGATACGATGATTTACAGAACAGTTAATGGCAGTTTCGTGCCTACATCATTTCAACATCACACCCACTACCAGGATGCCCACTGCCCTCTACCAAGTTCCCAAATGTCCCTCTGGTTTCTGTTCCCCACCCTTTGCCTCCAGATTGTTGTTCTGTGCAGCAACAATCCACCTCGGTTGCCTCTGGTCATACTTCTCCCTCACTGTGTGTCCCTAAACTCCACATGGGCGAGATCAACGTGGATCTTTCCCTTTCCCTCTGACTGACTTCACTCAACACGATGTCTTCTAGTTCCACCCTGTCATAGCAAAATGCACGATTGTGCCTTTTCTTACAACCGCAGAGTATTCCATTGAGTATGTATGCGACAACTTCTTGATCCATTCATTCGCAGCTGGGCAGCTGGGTTGTTTCGGTATCTTGGCTATTGTACTAGGCGCTGCAAAGAACACTGGTGTGCATACGTCCTTTCAGATAAATGCTTTTGTGAAACAAATTTGGGGCAAGAGCTGATATGTGGGAGGCAGCCTAAGAGTAAAACACCAGCTGTCTGGGAGGGAGAAGGACCGACACAGGGGGCCATCTGGGAGACTACCCAGAGGACCCCAAATAATGGGTGTGGGAATTCATACTTCACTCACCAGCTGCATGTAAGAAGTGGCACAGGACAGTAGCCAAAGATTAAAGGGAAAGCCTCTGTCTGTTAGGAAAGAGGAAGATAAGGAGAAATCTGATTCCCAAGTCTTTGGTTCTAGTGCAGATCAGAAGGCAACACCAGTGGCACAGAAGGTCCCCAGGGGCCGGAGCGATAGTACAGCAGGTAAGGCATCTGCCTTGCATGGGGCTGACCCGGGTTCAATTCCTGGCATCTCATATGGTTCCCTGAGCACCAACAGGAGTGATTCCTAAATGCAGAGCCACTAGGAGTAACCCCTGGGCATCGTCAGGTATGGCCCCCAAATGAACAAACCAAAAACAAAATAAACTCCATCCCAGGTTGGCTCTCAGTGCTCTGAGCACCAAAACTAATGGGCTTGGTTTCAGAATCTTATGAGCTATGAAAACATAAAGTGATGGAGCTGGGGAGATAGTACAGGGGTTAAGATGCTTGCTCACATGAAACCCAGCTTCCACCCCCACTCCACCTATGGTCCTTTGAGCACCGCCAGGAGTAGACCCCTGAGACAACCAGAAGTAAGCCCTAAGCACGGATGGGTGCAGCCCCCAAAACCAAAAGGTAAAAAATAAATTAAAAAAATATATATATATGATGACTGCCTTACATCTGGCTGACCAAATTTTAATCCATATTGCCAAGTGTCCCCAAGCCATGCCGGAAGCCCTGACCCTCTGAGTATAGAGCCAAGAATAATTCCTGAACACTCCCAGGTGCAGCCCCCAAACAAAAACATTATATGCCCTCTTTGTTACACTCCTTAGCAGTTACTTTACACCAAAAGATGGATGACCACCTTGATGTCATCCCCCTTATAGTATGAGATCCATTTTGAAAAGATTTGTGGCTAGAAAGTCGAGTCATACTTATCATCTTAGCCTTCTTTTTATTTTTTGCTTTTGTTTTTTGGGACACAGACTGCAATGCTCAGGGATCACTCCTGGCAGTGCTTGGGGGGCACCATATGCAGTGCACGGGGCTGAACCTGGGTTCACAGCAAGACAAACTCCTTATCTGCTGCCCTCTCTCAGACCATCTTACTCTATTTTTTTTTTTTTTTTTGCTTTTTGGGTCACACCCGGCAGTACACAGGGGTTACTCCTGGCTCTGCGCTCAGGAATTACCCCTGGCAGTGCTCAGGGAACCATATGGAATGCTGGGAATCGAACCCGGGTCAGCCGCGTGTGCAAGGCAAACCCTACCCGCTGTGCTATTGCTCCAGCCCCAGTCTTACTCATTTTTAAGTGCACAGTTCAGTAGCATTCACGACATTCATACTTCTGTGAGACCAATGTTCAGAATGCTCCTAAATCTTGCAAAATTGAACCTCGTCTCGATTAAACATGACTCTTCTTTCTTTAAAAAAAGAAAAAAAGACTAAATATATTGTCAGTGTACACTTGAAGCCAAGTTGAGAAATGTGTAGTGTAACTGGCAGGGGAGGTCACTGGATGCTGAGGCCAGTGGTGCTTGAGGCTGGGTCCTCAGGACCCATCACGGTGTGACATAATCTGTATTTTTCTGTACTTCCATAATTTGAAGGGGGAAAAAAAGTTCAAGGGCTGGAGTGATAGCACGTCGGGGAGGATGCTCGTCTTGCATACAGCCGAGTGGGTTCAATCCGAGGCACCCCAAATGGTCCCCCAACCTGCAACCCGGCCAGGAGTGATCCCTGAGCGCGGAGTGAGGAGTAAGCCCTGAGCACTGCCGAGTGTGGCCCATCATGGACATCCCCTCTTCCCCCGAAAAATAAAGTTCACCACAGCAACAGCCAAACCCCGAACACATTTACCGGCCTTCACAGGCTTTATCTGGTCGCAGGCTGCAGCTCTGCGTCCAGATCCTCAAAACGGGGAGGGTTCCCTGGCCCTTCCAGCACAGGAGGGGGGGGTTGGGGTGCGAGGTGGGGCAGGGGGCGGAGAGTCCTGATCCCTCAAGCCCCCCACAAGCAGGAGGAGACTGTCAGAGCTCACAGCCCGCGGCCCCCTCCCGGATTGCCGACCCCGCAGCTTTGCAGACCCGCCGGACGCTCCCGCCGACCCCCACCCCACCCCTGCCTGATGTCCAGGGCCTCCCCGCAGCCCCTCCCTCCCGGCCCCCGCGAACTCCAGCCCCGGGGGCTCTGCCCGGTCCACTGGGCCGCACTCGGACCCTCGGGACGGACCCTCCCCCACCGAGTGGCACGACGGGCCGGGCGGGCCGAGCGCGCGGCCCGGAGAGGCGGACTCTCGCCCCGCAGGAGGCGCGGGCCCGGTCCGGCCCAGCCGGGAGACGCCTCGGGAATCCGGGACTGCGTGGCCGGACGGGGAGGATGCGGGTCGGGCGAACGGAGGCAGACGGGGAGCCCGCGGGAATCACACCCGAACCCGGGACTCACCGGGTCTGAAGACAGTCCCACGCGTAGCGGCCGCCCGGCTCAGGACCGACCAATCACCGGCCGCGGAAAGACCGGCCCCGCCTCCCCGGCGAGAATCGACCAATCACCGGCCGCAAAGAGACCAACCCCGCCTCCCCGGCCGCCACGGCTGAGAATCGGCCAATCACCGGCCGCAAAGAGACCAACCCCGCCTCCCCGGCCGCCACGGCTGAGAGTCGGCCAATCACCGGCCGCAAAGAGACCAACCCCGCCTCCCCGGCCGCGATGGCTCAGAGCCGACCAATCACCGGCCGCTGAAGAACTGGCCCCGCCCTCGGCCGCCGCTCCGCGGGGGCCACGCGCCCGGAGTTTCCGGCTTCTCCCGCCCCGGGAGCTCCGAGTCCTTCCGCCCTCGGGGGCGGGCCGCGGGGCACTTCCGCCCTCTCGGCGTCCGCCCGGCGCGCGGCCTCCCGCGGGGGTCGCCGTACCCCGGCCCGGCCCCTCGGGCGAAGCGGCTTAGCGGGTGTCAGGGCTCAGCCGTGGGGCCCGTGGGCTCAGTCGAGCAGCCCCGACCTTGGCGTTCGGCGTCCGGGTGCCGCGGGCCGGGGTCGGGCGCCTTCCCGGCTCCGCCCCGCCTTTCCGCCTTTTTTTTTTTCCCCCCCCGACGACTTTTTCTAGGATTCAGTGACCGGCTTCCCGTGGCGGCTCACAGCCCCCAGAATTCGATCTTGCCCGCGCGCCCCTGCAGCCCCGGGGAGTGGGTGGGAGCGGCTGCCCGGGCGGCCCACCCGGCACCCGCGCACGTGGCCCCGGGCCCGCCTAAGGAGATGAACCCCGGGAGCACCTCGAATACAGCGCCGGGTGCCGCCTTTGGGCGCCTCTTCGCGTGCTCGGCCCTGGGGGAAGGAGGGATTGGATTGGAGAAGGGCGGAGGGGAGCAGCTGGGGTGTAGGGGCCCATAGGAACTAGAATGCCCCCCCAACCGGGTGGGACGCACGCAAAGTCAAAATCAGCGAGTCGCTGACGCGGTGGGCGGTGGGGCTCGGGCAGGGTAGGGGTCAGCCACGTGCAAGTCGGCCAGCGCCTTTCCTGCTCTTCCTTGGGGTCACTCGACCCCAAGGGTGCAGTCCGCCCTGGGAGCGTGCAGCCCCACGCCCCTTCCCTCTGGCGAGGTCTCCAGCCACCGAGGGTGGGTTTGCAGCTGGAACCTGCTGCTAGGTCCGACTCCCTGCACCCCGTATGGGTCCCCTGAGCCTGTCAAGAGTGATTCCTGAGTGTTAAAA